AATTGTAGGTAAATTTGTTATCAAGGGAGGAAGAATATTGGGCGATGGATGCTAGCCTTTTCATCACTGATGAGATATAAATATCTCATGAGGTGTTCCTGGTGTTGCATTTTTTTGCTGTCGCTTGTGCACATGCAACGAGGCCTTTATGGCCTGTTTCTAAAACTTTCTATTTTAAATGCGAAGGCACATTTTTCTGGAAAATAACTGGTTTTTAGAGAACTATACGCGATCAGATAGTAGCCTCTAGGAAATAGATGGTTTTCCACTTGATGTTTCTGAACCATTCCACTTTTAGAAGTCAGCATTACTTAATTTACTTGTATGAGTGAGCTCTTGGTGTCACTTCATCTATCAGATTAGGGCCTAATGCCTGGATATGAAGTTTTTGAGACGCTAGATGGCACAATAGTAAATTTGATATATCGGTTCCGTGGAGAAGTTGGTGAAATCAAAGCAAAGTGTAAACCGTTGTCAGTGCCAGCATGTGCAAATATCCATTTTGCGAGAAGTTAGTGGAGTCATGTACAATGCCTAGTTATTTGAGGCGTGGAATATCAATAAATCAACATAGATTACACGTAATGTAGGAGTTAAAAATTTACCTGTTCAGGAAAAAATATGACTTAAAACAAATGGGTAAAACGAGGTTTCTTACGAGTTGGCTATATTGATGTCCGGAATAGTTCAGCTCATATTATTTGATAAGGCAGAATACTTAAGCTCATCTCTTAATTTTTAGTGCGTTCCAATTTGGGGCTGGCTGTATGACTTCTTTTTAGGTAGTTGTTTGGTGTAGTTTTCTATGAAATTGTCTCTAATTTCCTCCTTTTTTAAAAAGTGAAAAATGTATCAAGTTCCATGTATAGAAGTTCTTGAAGTTGAAAGGCAGAACTCCAAGTTCGATGTTTCGGTTTTCTTCAACGATAATGAAGAATTTGGAGTGCTACTCAAAAATTGCCGAAATCCAAATTCTGTGCTCACCTACCAAATATCATCCTGGTTCTTTGTATATACTGCTTGCAGATTGCCACCATATCCAACTTACCAAATCGTTGCATCGCATTTACCTAAGCCAAAGACTGCAATCAATGGCAGTTTCCTTGTCAGCACATAAATTTGCCCAATCTCCACTCTTCCCTATTAGCAAAGATTTCTGCAATGACCATTGATCACCATGTGAGAGCCAGAAGAAGATGCGTGTTCAGTGTTCCGTGCTCCTATGGTCATGCCGAGGCAGCATTAGCGACATCAAAGGATGAAACAAGGGGGAGATTTCGGTGCATAAGTATAATGGAAGAAAAATGGAATCTAATTTCTAATCAAAAAAGATCTTTTCAAAAACTAAATGAAATCAATTAATTTATTAATTTTAATGGAAGATGGAAAAACATTTATGGTACTATCTTGTAATATTTTTACTGCCTTTTATATGTTTCACTCTCTTTTCTATGCAGCCTTTGTTTAAGTTCCCTTTTGAAGTTTGATTCTTCCGAGCATGATAACCATGGTCATCATGTTTGGTGATCAGTCTGTTGAGATTCAACAAATGCAACAATCAGGGAAACTCCCGGTAAAATTTGATTACTCAAGAGGGAAAACTGGAAAGGAACATAGATTACAGCGAAATCAATCTAATACTTCAACCTTCAGAACCAGAACGTCCCCCTGTTACGTGTACAAATGTGATGGATCACAGAAATATGCTTTCGACGGAGACCTTCTAGTTCTCTTTTGGAGTTCCCTATTATGGTTATAATCTTGGTTCTGTGCTGATTAACACTGTTTTGTATGCTAAATATTTAACTTGGGTTTTGATGCCATGCAGTTTGAAGAATTCACTTATCTGAAATTTGATTGTTAAAATCATTTACTTCATATCTCTCACTTTTCTTTCTTGTTTTTGTCAAAACTCATCAGGAGCCGAAGCAAAATGCTAGGGAATCAGCACCAAGTAAGCGGAAAGGGATTGAGTCGGATGAAGAATCTCCTCCAAGGAAGACGACAACTCATCGCAGAATGGCAATTGTTTATGACAGTGAGGAAGACTAAAATGTAATAGCATGGAATCTGAGACAGGTGAGTGTTGGATGTGAACCATTTTAAGCTCCCTGTATGACATGCTTCTTCTGTGATAAGATGTCAAGGCTTCTTTTGTGATGGATGTATAACATGCTGAGTTTTGTTTTCATCTTGCATATAAATGTCTCTACTCTTGAGAGCATTTTTTGCCCCATCATCTTTTCTCTTCAGCTCTACTAAATCAGAAATTTATTGCATCCATTGAAAGCTTATATGCTGAATGTTCTATTTTTCTTGTTAAATGGTTACTGGAGTTTTATATGTTACCATCTCAAAAAATAATTACTGGAGTTTATGCATAGTTGCTGACGTTTAGCTGTACCAATGAACTAGGTCAGTTTAGGAGTTTTTGGTGATATTTGTAGACTGGTTGCAATAGATTTTTGCCATTCCAAAGACTGATTGATGGTAGAATTGCAAAGTAAAAGTTGAAGAACTTGTTGATAACTTGATATTGATAATGTTTTTGGCTGCATAGTGGTCAAGTAGTTCTGGTGGTTGTAGTAGTAGTAGTAGAATTACCTATATGAATCATCATATTGGTTCTAGCATAATTCTAGTGGTATATCTGTATTTTAATATCTCTATCTGTAGCTAATATGGTTCTATACCAGAGTTAGAACGATGGTGAAATCCTGATGCTTCCTTTTCTTCGAGGGATACATCTTTTATCCACTTTTAACTAGAGTTCCTTTGAATCCTGAGTGCTAAATTCTCATCTATAAGAGAACTACCTTTGTAGTTTTCACAGAACTGCGCGCGCACCTTGTAGATTTTTCAGATTAAAGTTTGGAATGTATTCACAACCTTTCTTGATTCGGCTTTGTATTTGGCAGGCAAATTTGCACAGAAGATTGTCACAGGGTGGATGCTCGAAGTCCTGGGGACTTGAAAAGAGGCATCAAGTGCCTGAATGTTGTTCAGTTATACATCACCAACCTACCTTAGATTTATACTTTCAGATGTCTTTCTTATACTGAAGTTGCTGAAGAGCCGTAGCAGAAGTGATATTACTTTTTTTTTCTTTTTTCTTATGTTGGAATTGTTTTTTAAGATGGATATAACCTGGTTCTTATCAGCTACCTATTTATAGATGACACTTGAAACTTAGTACAGCTTGCTTTCTTTACATGTTCAGCAGTTTTTGTTCCCTGGTTTGATTCAGCAGTTATTCTGTAACCATACCAAAGAGGCAAGGAGGGTAGCAAAAGCATGCCCACCTGCTCCCTTCAGTTTCTGCTCCTTTAGTTTGCCTTCTAAAAAAGGCTGTCTTAAAATATAATGTGAAATTGCTTCAGTAAAATCTGGTAAGATTGATTTCATTCTGGCCTCAAAGAACCAACAGAGCAGCTTGAGCTTCTGTAATCTGGGATGATTGAGGTTTCCATGTGTGTCCGTAGACTGTAGGAGCATCCTCTCCTTGTGATCAAAGTCAGTTTTTCACGGCGAGTTGTTATCTAGAGTGGTTAAAGTAAAAGGTAAACGTGGGTGACACATTGATGAGGGCACTCTTTGGGGAGAAATTCAAAAATAGTCTGATTTACAAGTGGTCATTTAAAAATACCACAGTTTCAAAAGTAATCGAAATTTAGCCACTTTTCATGTAAAGATAAATTTAAACAAAAATACTGTTCAAAATCCGGAAAAATACTCAAGCATAATATACTGGAGTTTGGAGCACCGGTGCTCCAGTCTCTAGTATATTATACTGGACCCAGTAAAGTATACCGGTCCAGCATAATATGCTGGAAGTTCATACACAGGTGCACCGAACTCCAGTATATTATGCTGGACCGGTCTTTGTTGCAGCAAAATAGTGGCTATTTTTCATTGACTTGCTAAACGTTGGCTATTTTTGAATGAACAGTTCGAAAACTGGTTAGACCGTGCTATTTTTGCCACTCTTTGCTTATCCGTTATACCTTGTGATCCCTTTTTTAGCAACTATAGGAAAAGGTATCATTCTGCTGTTCTTGCCGAGGGAGTTCTGAATCAAAGGTGCCAAAAATAAAATGCGAGCTAAGTTTATAAATTAGTTTGTATTCTTAACTAAGAACGTGCTTGTAATCTATTTGGCTCTTTTCAAGATCTATAATAGGGGTGGCAAACTAGTCGGGCCGGGTCAGATATGAGCGGGTCAAAATGGGTAATACAAAAAAAAGAAGATAAATTATTCGATCCGATCCATATTTAATACGGATAAAAAATAGGTTAACCAGCGGATAATATGGATATTCATACTTTACGAGTGTAAAAGTTAAATTCATTGGTTATCCATTTTCTAAGTGAATAATATGGTTCTTATTCATATTTGATCCGTTTTTAAAAAGTTTATTATCCAACATATTTTTTAATAGATAATATGGGGGAATAACTGTTTTCTTTCAATCATTTTGCCACCACAATATATAATTATGAAAAGATTTTTTCTAATCATTGTTCCATTAAGCCATTCTAACCATGTTAAAAAGACGGATGATTATACAGACACCTTTGTATTGAAGAATCCGATAAATGCAAGATTTTTCATTGTTTAGTAATTTAGTGTATCTCATAAGCGTCACATGATTCAAATTGTAATATTGTAGCTTATGGAGTAATAGTTTTGATTCTTTGAATGCGTTTCTTCCTCTTGAAAAAGAAATTTCAAAATAGACCAAATGTGTAAATTCCCCGAAACTATTTCAAAAGAAACTTTTTTTTTTTTTTTTTTTTTTTTTTTTGCAATAAGACTGGGACCCAAAGTGAATTATGTAAAAAATGAGGGGAGGCAAATTTATATTCCAGGTCAGTCTAGTAGTTACCAAGAGAAACACTCGATATTCCACGTAATCATTGTATTGCCACGTGGCAGTTAAGGAAAATAAAAAAGGTCTGGTAGTTTCTAGGCTCACCTTCTAACTTCCAGACTTCTCTGTTTCGTTAACATAAGCACCGTCTCCTCCCCCTTCTCTGCGCATTTGAACAAACACTTGAAACTGTACTGTATTTCACCCAACAGATCTTAAGGAATTGTCTTTCTGCTCTCGGAAATTCTATTTCTTGTTTAAGGTATGCTTGCATGTCTCTATTGAGCTTATTTTTCTTCTCTTCGATTTTGAGTTTTTTTTTTTTTTTTTTTTTTTTTTTTTTTTTTTTTTTTTTTTTTTTTTTTTTTTTTTTGGGGTTTGCTGTTCAGAATTTATTTTTTTGGCATTGTGTGCGTACTTGCTATTCCATTGAGAATTTGTGTTGTGGTTTTCGGCTGTATGCGTTTGATGGAATTGCACGTACTTTTTCCGTTATTGAGTTGCTTCGGAAAATATAACTGGCTTTGCTATTGATCGTTATGTTCTGTTTCAGTTTTTATTTGGTTTTTGTTAACATAAGTAGATCAGTTAGTCTGATAGTATGCTTGCGGAGCCATTAATTCTAAGGGGAATTCAAAAATCTGCTTTTATCCAATTTAGGCATTTAACTTTGCAATTCCCTTCATTGCATGTGGCTCCGGCGTAGCCACATAGTGAAGGGTCGTCAGTTGAACATCCTTCTTTGAAAAAGTATACTGCATATGTAAAAAATTACTATATTTTGTCTATGGTTGTGGCTATAGGTCAGAAATTACTTCTTATAAATATATATCAAACTAGACTCACTGTGCTCAATTTAGTTTCTCCCGTTTTTCTCTAGGTAAGTTTCATGTTATGGCAAATTTTGCTATTAAATGATTCCTCACATTCTGTTCTTTTATTGCAGTTAGTTGAAACACACATAATTAGTCATGAATCCTGAAAAATTTACCCACAAGACCAGTGAGGCACTTGCTGAGGCACATGAACTAGCTATATCAGCAGGGCATGCTCAATTTACACCCTTACATATGGCAGTGGCTTTAATATCCGATCACAACGGTATTTTCCGGCAAGCAATTGTGAATGCTGCTGGTAGTGAAGAAACAGCTAATTCAGTTGAAAGGGTATTCAAACAAGCCATGAAGAAAATCCCTTCTCAAACACCAGCACCTGATGAAATCCCACCTAGCACTTCACTGATTAAGGTGCTCCGACGAGCACAATCACTGCAGAAGTCTCGTGGCGACACCCATTTGGCAGTTGATCAGTTGATATTAGGCCTTCTAGAAGATTCCCAAATTGGTGATCTTTTAAAAGAAGCTGGGGTTAGTACAGCAAGAGTGAAATCAGAAGTAGAGAAACTTAGGGGAAAAGAGGGTAAAAAGGTAGAAAGTGCTTCAGGGGACACCAATTTCCAAGCACTTAAGACTTATGGTCGTGATCTTGTTGAACAAGCAGGAAAACTTGATCCTGTGATTGGTAGGGATGAAGAAATTCGAAGAGTAATTCGGATTTTATCGAGGAGGACAAAGAATAATCCGGTGCTTATTGGTGAGCCTGGTGTTGGTAAAACAGCAGTAGTTGAAGGGCTAGCACAAAGGATTGTTCGAGGAGATGTCCCGAGTAATTTGGCTGATGTTAGACTTATAGCATTGGACATGGGAGCATTAATTGCTGGAGCAAAATATAGAGGTGAATTTGAAGAGAGGTTGAAGGCAGTGTTAAAGGAAGTGGAAGAAGCAGAAGGGAAAGTGATCCTTTTTATTGATGAGATTCACTTGGTTTTAGGTGCTGGTAGGACTGAAGGATCTATGGATGCTGCCAATTTGTTTAAGCCAATGCTTGCTAGGGGCCAATTAAGGTGCATTGGTGCAACAACTCTCGAGGAGTACAGGAAGTATGTGGAAAAGGATGCTGCGTTTGAAAGGCGTTTCCAGCAGGTATACGTGGCTGAGCCTAGTGTTCCTGATACTATTAGTATCCTTCGTGGGTTGAAGGAGAAGTATGAAGGGCATCATGGTGTCAAAATTCAAGATAGAGCTCTTGTGGTTGCAGCCCAGCTTTCGGCTCGGTACATTACAGGTATGTCATTTTTTGGATTGTTGTTGTATTTGATGAATTTCACCTTTGATCAATAATCAAGTAAAGATGCCACTACAGGAATATAGTAATGTATTTAACGTTGAAATGTGATGCGTCACAAGTCAGTATTGTGGTTGTCAAAAAATTTCCTTAAATTGTAAAGAGATGGTCCCTTTCCTTTACGTCTAAGCAGGATGGGTGTGAATCTAGTTTTATACCTAATTTAGCCGAATCATGTCCCATTTGAATGATTAAGTTATATTCTGCTTCTTTGTGCTTTTCAAGGTGATAACCTTTAACCTTTGGTTTGTAGTTTCAGACTGATAGAAGTATGATTGATGCATGCTCACCTTAATTGGTTGGATGGGATTATGTGTTTGCTCTTTATTAATACTAATTTTCTTTAAAGCTTTTTCTATCCCTTGCTATGGAGAATCACTACTGTCGTTTTGCGTATCATTTTCCAGTTTGCCATAATTTTGTGCATATAGGGATTACTAATCTGTGAATTTTTACTTTCAGGTCGTCATTTGCCAGATAAGGCTATTGACCTAGTTGATGAGGCTTGTGCAAATGTAAGAGTTCAACTTGATAGTCAACCTGAAGAAATTGATAATCTTGAAAGAAAGAGGATTCAGCTAGAAGTTGAACTTCATGCACTTGAGAAGGAAAAGGACAAGGCTAGCAAAGCTAGACTCATTGAAGTAAGTATTACATCCTGGAAATGATTTGACCTATAATTCTGGAGCCTGTATATTAAATATGGACAAATAACGTAATTACTATTTCAGGTGAGAAAAGAACTTGATGATTTGAGGGACAAACTTCAGCCTTTGACGATGAGGTATAAGAAAGAGAAGGAAAGAGTTGACGAACTTCGCAGGCTCAAACAAAAGCGCGATGAACTCACGTATGCTTTACAAGAAGCTGAAAGGAGATATGATCTTGCTAGAGCAGCAGATCTTAGGTATGGGGCTATCCAAGAAGTGGAAGCTGCTATAGCAAATCTTGAGAGTAGCACAGACGAGAGTACAATGTTAACTGAGACTGTTGGACCTGATCAAATCGCGGAAGTAGTCAGTCGCTGGACTGGTATTCCTGTCTCAAGGCTTGGTCAGAATGAGAAAGAGAAATTGATTGGTCTTGCTAATAGATTGCACCAAAGAGTGGTTGGGCAGGATGACGCAGTTAGAGCTGTTGCTGAGGCTGTACTAAGGTCTAGGGCTGGGTTGGGAAGGCCACAACAACCAACTGGTTCATTCCTTTTCTTGGGACCAACTGGTGTTGGAAAAACTGAACTTGCTAAGGCTCTCGCTGAGCAGCTCTTTGATGATGACAAGTTGATGGTCAGAATTGACATGTCCGAATACATGGAACAGCATTCTGTTGCCCGGTTGATTGGTGCTCCACCAGGGTAAGGACCCTTTAACTATTGATAGGATAAAATAACAAATCATACTTTTACGAGTCAACTATATCTGCCATAATGAGATTGTGGTGTACAATTGCACCTTCTGTAGAACTGTGTAGCCCCACTTCTCTGTAGGTATTTAATAGTTTAACGTCTCAAGGGACGAATGCTGAACATGTTTTGTCTGTGCAGTTATGTTGGACATGAGGAGGGAGGACAACTCACTGAAGCTGTGAGGAGGCGCCCTTACAGTGTAGTGCTTTTTGACGAAGTGGAAAAAGCTCATCCTACTGTGTTCAATACCTTGCTTCAAGTGCTGGACGATGGACGATTAACAGATGGTCAGGGTCGTACAGTTGATTTTACTAATACAGTCATTATTATGACCTCAAATCTTGGAGCAGAGTATCTCTTGTCAGGATTAATGGGCAAGTGCACCATGGAGAAGGCTCGCGATTTGGTCATGCAGGAGGTAAGTTCGAGCAGCCTATTTGCTGCTAATTTTTTTTGGCATTGTTTGCTAGTTTACATTATTATTAGAGTTTCAATTGTTCACATATATGTTTTTGTGATAGGTGAGAAAGCACTTTAAGCCTGAGTTATTGAATCGGCTAGATGAGATTGTAGTGTTTGATCCTTTATCGCACGAGCAGTTGAGGCAAGTATGCCGTCACCAACTGAAAGATGTAGCAAGCCGTTTAGCTGAGAGGGGTATTGCCTTGGGCGTTACTGAGGCCGCGTTAGATGTCATACTTGCTCAGAGTTATGACCCTGTAAGTATCACCATCTGGTATTTCAACCTGACATTTCATGGTGATTAGACTAGGGTCTGAGTTAAGATACCATGTAGATTTTTGTATTAATCTTGTTGTGGCGGGTTACACTTGTTTTTTCAGTTGCTAATTTCACTTATTATGACTATTATTTGTAGTTACATTTTAGGTGATCTAACATTGTAAAAATTATCTTAGAACTGTTGGTGTATAGAAGTGAAATACTTTTGACAATTGATTGTGTTAACTTTTTTTACAATTGCATTACAGGTTTATGGTGCAAGACCTATTAGAAGGTGGTTGGAGAAAAGAGTGGTAACTGAGTTATCCAAGATGCTCGTGAAAGAGGAGATCGATGAGAATTCAACCGTCTACATCGATGCTGCATTCGATGGGAAAGATCTAAGCTACCGAGTGGAGAAAAATGGAGGGCTTGTCAATGCTGCCACTGGGAAAAAATCTGATATATTGATTCAGCTCCCTAATGGACCGAGGAGTGATGCTGCTCAAGCAGTGAAAAAGATGAGGATTGAAGAAATAGTGGACGATGATGAAATGGAAGACTGCTGAGGCCGTAAAATCACTGGGGTAAAATGAAGAGAAGAATACTTCACTTAACTCTTTGTGATGGAGTCCAATAACATTCTCAGGAGGTGAATGTATATGATCACAGATTTTTGTTGAATGTACAGTGGTGTTTTATGAATTGAATGTCTAAATGGGGATGCATTCCCTAAGTTTCTGAAAAACTTATCCTTTTCTCTTCTGTTTTTCTTTGTCCACGTTTTGAGTTTGGAGCGGTGTCGTTTAAGTAACTGTGGAGTGAAGTGTTAATGTCAAAAGTTGAAGAGGGCTTGTGTTGAAAATGTTGGAGTGATGTAAAGGTGAATTCACGATTCAGTGTCAATGAGTCCAATTTTATGGTATATACATATTCTAAGTAGTTTGTTTGGCACATGTATTTTGTGTAGGTTACATTTTCTTCTCGGCGACACTTTCTTCAGGGACCATAGGATTGGATTATGTGCTGCGTATTTCCTTTTCTCCATGTACCTTGTCCAAACGTAGGGGTGTTCTTGGTTTGGATCGATTTTTCCCTAAAAAAAAATCAAATCAAGTAAGTCGGTTTTTCAAATATTAGAACCAAACCAATTAAGTCGGATTTTTCTCGATTCGGTTTATGTCGAATTTTTTCGGTTTTTTCTTAAATATAAGATATACGCTATCAAACACATATTTTGGAGACCACATTTTCAACGTAACATTATCAAATCAATTGCCCTTTGAGAAATCTATTAATAACCAAAATATATTGATAATAATTAAATCAAATAGTGATGAATAATTTAAGGACTCAATTAAAAATATATTATTTTTAACACGAAATGGATTCTTACACTTAACAAAAGATAGCTACCAATCAAACTAGAATGTAAAGATAAAGAACTATACTAAAAGTGCAAACTATTAACATTTACCGTTAAATTTTATATATATATATATATATATATATATATATATATATATATATATATATGTAATAATAAATCTGAAATAGCTACTCCTATAGTCGGTTTGGTTCGGTTTTTTTCTGATTAAAACCAAAACTAAACAAAATTTTATCGGTTTTTAAATTCAAAACCAAAACCAAACCAAACCAAAAAGTATCGATTTTTTTGGTCGGTTTGGTTTGG